CCGCGCCGCGCCGCGCCCCGCCCGGGTTAGTTTCGAGCCGGCCGGCCAGGCCTGCGCAGTCGCGGCGGCCGGGGAAGATGGTGGAGGACGGCGCGGAGGAGCTGGAGGATCTGGTACACTTCTCCGTGTCCGAGTTGCCTAGTCGCGGCTACGGCGTTATGGAGGAGATCCGGCGGCAGGGCAAACTGTGCGACGTGACGCTCAAGGTATCGAGAGCTGGGCGGCGCGGGGCTGTGGGAAAAGGGACCGAGAGGGGAGTAAAGAGGGGCGGGGCTGATAGGGGAAGAGAGGTCTAGCGAGCTGAGGGGTGGGGAAAGGAGGTTGGAGGGAGACCGAAGAGGGGAGAGAGAGGTGCCGAGTGGGAGACCGGGACTGGGGCTGAGTGGGAGACGGACAGGCACAGCCTCTCAGACCTTAGAAGGCAAGGCTGAGAGCTGCGCCGCTGAGGCCCTCGGAATGGGAGACATTGGGGTGCCCGCCTCCCTTTTCTGTCACACAGACAAGAGAGAATGGACTTGCAGCCCCTCCATGGAGGAAGGGGCGGTGGCTGTCTCTACGTTATGATGGGCACCACTGAAGCACCTCTTGTCACCGCAGCTATTTCTTTGTGCCCCTCGAAGTTAGCTGTGTCGTAGAGGCGCAGGCTTTTCCTTAAGAGTCACTGCTTGCCCTTGTTAGATTGTTAGATTACTACCTTGTCTCTTAAGAGCTTTTAAAATCGGATCTGGAAATCTTTTGAGGTGGGCAGCTACTCTGCCCCATACGGGGAGGCACACCATCACCACCGCCGCAGAGGTCACGGAAAATGGACTGACAGGCTGCGTGGGGAGCGGGATCTCTTAATCACCTGTTCCCTACTGGCATTTGGGGTGTAAGAGCCAGCCTTCCTCCTGTGCTTTCCATCCATTCCTGGTGGAGAGGCACGCCGGGCTGCTCCTTAGTCAAGCTGCCTAGCCATGTGGAGCCCTCCAGGTGGCAAAGTGCTGCAGCAAGCCATGTTCCCTGTTGTGCTTTGGCTGGAAGGCTCTCAGCATCTGTGGATGACCTCGTTTCAAAACAAAACAATACTACAGCAGAGCTCTTTTTGCTCTTTATTTTCTGCGGGGTTAAGGAAGCTTTTTTTCTTCCACATATTTGAGTCAGACCTTTGGAGACAGTAGAGTAGAATGGCTAAGAGTGTGGCTTTGGAGATTGAAGGATTTGGATTAAAATTCTAGTTGTAACCTTGGGCAAGTTTCTTAATTTCTCTAAGCATCAGTCTTCCAAATGTAAAAATAGGAATTATTCCTGATTCTCAGTATTAGTATGAGGATTAAATGAGAACATTGTGGTATTCTTTTCATAATTCCTGGCATAAGTTTTTCATCACACTAAACCCCTCCTGAAAGAGATTAGTTTTGCAGGAGAGGAGTGAGGTGGCCTGAGCGGGGGAAGGATCTTTAGAGATAACCAAGGGGTTTCAGAAAAATGAGCTGGACTAAAGAAGGCAGCGGAAGTAAATATAAATGGGAGATTTTTGTCCATGATGATTACGTGGTAGATGATGTCAAGGCTCCTAGAGATTAGTGAGCGAAAGAATGAGCTGGTTGTGGCGGTAACCCTTGGGGTGAGTAGAGACTGGTGTGAAGCGGTAATAGGGGAGAATGTTTGGATTTAGCCTGAAAGGGTGACCCAGAGAAAGCTCATAAGACACAGAGAAGCAAAAAAGGCATGATAGAGTGAGACGGCCACAGATACTTCTACATAAGTTAAACCAGTGCATTTTTCCTCTGAATTTCATGCAAATACAGAATATGGCAATCCTTTAGCATAAAAATGCTTGTATGATTTTTCCATTGAAATGCTTTTTGTTCATACAAAGGGACAAATAAATTATCAGATATAGTTCCAAATAAGTAAATTATCAGAGAGAGTTCCAACCAAGTGTGTCAGTGTAAATTGCTGTTTTAGATCTGAGAAATAAAGGCACAGGCAAGAGGTAGACAGGACCGGAGAGAGCATCTGCTTCACTGGTTTTCTAACTGTTCTGTAGAGCCTAAGACGTAGCTCACTGGCGGTGTGGTGGTGGGGGCCAGGGAGAGGCCAGGCAAACCAGGCTCTGCTCCATTTCCCTCCCCTTCGCTAGAGCTGCTCTGGGAAATCTGTTTTGGTCTGTCTTTCAAGATAGCGTCTTTCCTGAAACTTCTGGTGATTCGAGACTGTCTTCCAAATATGCACTGAAAAGCTGGTTGGAAACTTTTTGATGTGGGATGGGTTTTTTGACTAGTGGGCCTCCCTATAGGGCAGTGGTTCTCAAACTTTAGTGGGCATTAGAATCTGGCCGCCTTGTTCACTGGTTTTTGGGCCTCACCCCAGAATTTTGTATTCAGCAGGTCTGGCATGGGCTTGAGAATTTGCGTTTCTGACAAGTTCTTCATTGGTGATGCTCCTGGTCTGGGACCACATGCTGAAAGCCACAGCTGTGGGGTGATGGACTTGTACTTTTAAATGGAATGTGTTCAGAGTCCATGGGTGATCTTTAGGCTTCTGTCTTGTTGGGAGAAGCCTGGCTATTATCCTTAGGAGCCTGATGGTGGGAGGGGACTAGGGGTTCTTCCTTCCGTATGCAGACTTTCACTTAATCCCCCTGAATGGTGTCACACTCTTGTGTCAGTGGTGCCCTGGTTATCCAAGTCTGAAGTCTCTAGTTTATCCTGTCCAGAGAATAAACCTCCAGTTGTCTGCTGGGGCAGTGATGGAGCATTTGCTTGCCTGGTGAGGGGACTAGTCCTACCTGTTTTCAGACTTCCTTATCCTCACACCTTGAGAGGAATCCTGTGTGTCTCCAAGAGCTGAGTTTTGGAGAGGATTCTACAATGGCTTGCCACCTGCAGCACTCAGTGTTCTCCATTTAAATCAGTTACTACTCATTTGTCTGCTTTTCATCTTCCATAATGTGGTGACATTTCTAATCTGCTCTCTCTGTCCACTTTTTTTTCCCCCTTGAGAGCTTTGCTGTTCCTTGACTATCAGTCTGAGAGGTAGCACACATAGCACAGATTCGAGCCGTCTACCTGGATTTGAATCTTGGCTCTGCCACTTCCTAGTTGTGAAAACTTGGGCAAGTTCCTTAAACGCTGGTGATTCAGTTCTTTCACATGTAAAATAGGGATCATCACCGATGTAATAAGAGTGTTAAGGATTCCATTAGTTAATACACTTAAAACAATCATGTGGTTAAATGCTCAGTAAGTAGAAGGTATTTATGAATAATGATTTAATGGGTTTCTAAAGGGAGTGGAAATAAACACGAATGTCCAACCTGCCATTTTGAATTTGTTTTAGCTTCTGATGAATTCTAGATGATATTCATTGCCTTAAAAGAGTTTGCAAACCACTGCTCTGCTTCAGTAGCTTACATTTTACAGATGAGGACCCAAGCACAGGAGAAGAAGGGACTTGTCCAAGGTCACCGATTAAATTAGGCAGAGTTAGGATTAGAGGCTAGACTCCTGGTCTCTGTATTCCAGGTCGAGTATTCTTTCATGTGCTCCCATTGCCTCTTCTGTTACTGATAGTGTTGATGGTAATGAACTGACTTCAGACGCTCCTGTGCAAATTAATCTACTTCAGGTCAGTTGTACTCACCTTTAACAACATGTCAGCTTTTCTACTTGAGTTTTAGGGAGAGTATGAAAATCAGCATTTAGCAGGTAGGCCATAGTCTCAAAATTCACTGCCCACTCTTGAATCTTGCTTAATTTTCTTTTTGGAAATATTTGAAGTTAAATTCTTTGGGTGCCTGTTTGATAATTAAGTCGAGGCATAACAGAAAAGGGTAATATATTGGATTTTTTTAAAAATCACATTTTATATCCATGATGACTTAAACCTTTTTGAAAAATGAAAGTGATGAACCTTCTCCCCAGAAAAATACACATACTTATAGATGTGCAGTATTTTGCATTCAGTCTTGAGAGCAGAAGCCTGTCTTCGGATCTTGGGTTATGGATCCCAACTGAGAAATCTTCTGTCAGAGAAAGCCCATGGTCCTTCTCCTTGGCAAATCATTTTGTCTTAAAGGTTAGAAGGAACATAGTACAAGGCTTCTTGGCAACCTATAGCATAAAGATTGGTCTGGATAGAGAGGCTCGCATCCACAGAGGCTCTCATCCCCCCTTCCCAACAGTCAGGTTCGTCTCTTTTCCTCTGGACTGCCAGGAGCCCAGTGCCTAGGCCTTGTCTGTCAAGTTCATCTGGGTCCAGCAAGCTGGGCAGACTCCCCAGATTCAATGAGTGTTGTCCATGACTTGCTGTTCATGAGCGCTAGACCATCCAAATTCATACACTTTTTTTCCTCTCACTTCACCCACTCCTTTCTTTCTTGGTGAGAGCAGAATGGGGTCACCAAACCTGTATACTACTTGCTGACCCATAATCTTAGGAGAGAGGGCTGCCTACACAAACAAACACTTTGTTTTTCAACCACTAATAAATGGCTCCTCAAGATCTGCTGGCATCAGTCTTCCCAGCATTTTCCCAAGGCCCCTGCTAAGGTTACGAACCCAGATCTAAGAATTTAGCCTCCAGAAGGAAATGTCTTTTTCATAGGTGAAAGGCACAATATTAGAATATTGCCTGTTGACCCACTAAATCCAAGTACACAGTTTTCACTGAAACTGGCTTCAGGAACCACACTTTGAGTCTGGAATCTTGGCTAATTTGTCACACTGATTTTGTGATGAAAGAGTAGGTGGAGAAGGATATCAGGAAATGAAGTACGGACTTGTTGGTGCATGCCATTTTTATATTATGTGTAATGCAGTGAGCTACACAGGTATAATTATAAGAGCTAGAATAATCGTCTTAAAAGGAACCATAGAAGTCCTGTATCAAAGCCATTCCTTTTACAGATGAAAAAACCCTGAAGCTTAGAGATATTAAGGGATTGCCCAAGGCACAGAGCTATGTTATCCGAGCTCCAACACAGCTGTTTGTTGGTGGAAGCCATGCTTTTACATCCTCTGTCGGATTACTCACCTGCCTTGCTGATGGAATGAAGCAGAGCAGGGAGCAAACACCATCTGCAGTGTCATCTTTGAGGGTGGAGGGCAGCGAAGTATATGTCCAGATGCAACATCACTCTCTGTCTCAGGAGAGAAGAAAGATGCAGGCTTTTTCTGCTAGTCTTCTGGATATATGAAATTCTTGACTTTTAATTTTGAAACGACACCATATCAGAAATTTTGTGCTTCTGAATAGTGTTCATTCCTGGGGTTTTCTACTGACTTTTTTCAGGTAGTAGTATTCATTTTTAGCCTCGCCTCTTTTTAATGAGCAGTTAGAACCGAGAGGAAGACCATGCGCCTTGAGAGCACATGTGCACTTGTGATGTCAATTTGTATTCATCAAAAAGTCAGTTTTGCTCTCTTCAAGTTGTAGTGTGGATAACGCTGTTAAATTTGGACGCTGATAGATGAATGAGAGAGCTTGATGCTTCCTGACATGTGGATAGGAGAGAGAGTTGGAGGTATCCAAAAAAATCAGTTACCAACCAAGCAACATTCATGGGGTTCACCCTGAGACTTCTGGAGCATAGCTGGTCAGCTGGGTAATTTAAGAAGCCTGTGTCTCAAAATGCTTCTTAACTACAGTTGGTTTCTTTATTATTATTTTGTTTGAGACTCCACTGTTTGCCCCCTGGCCACTCCTGGTTCATCTTGTAGGCTGATTGATGGAAAATGAGACCACATTGTTTTTCTCAAGGTGCGTTCTGTGCCCCACCTAAATTACAAGCACGGCATCTCCTTTCCTACGTTTGTTGAGTGTTGGCACTCTCATTGCCTCTCTGGTCTGGAACCAGCCAACTTCCCCACAGTTAGTTTAGTAAGGCTTTTTCTGCCCTAACAGCTGATCATGTCACCACTTGTTTCTAGTTGGGGAGAATGTATCAAGATGTGTGAACCAGGAGTTGGCAAGCATTTTCTGTGAAGAGCCAGATAGTAAATATTTTAGGATTTGGGGGTCATACAGTTTCAGCTGCAACTACTCAACTCTGTCATAGCACCGAGGCAGCTGTATACAATACATAAACTAATGGGTATAGGTGTGTTCCAGGAAAACTTCATTTAGAACAACAGACGTGGGCCAAACCCATTGGCTGTGGCTGGCCGACCCTTGTTGTAGTCTGATTTGGCCTTTGTAAAGTTTAAGGCTTTTAAAGTAAGTTACACTTGCTTTATTGTCCCAGGGTAAACTTCTGTAGTTTCAACACAGTATCTAGAAATTGGAGGCATCTCTTGTTAAAAGGCTACAGATGAACCAGAAGTGAAGAACTTTTTTTTCCCACATCACTGCAGGTGATCATGGGACTATCCTGGTTGCTGACTGAATAACTGACATAGGAAAAGTACTGTTAAATTTTGCATCTCATCTTTAAAGCCTTGTAGCTCTGCTGGAGCTTGAAGCAGACTATTTCCAAAGCATTAACTAAAGACACCATGCTCCCTTTCTCAGTTGAAGCTGAGGATGCTTAGCTGCTTGCAGAATGGCAGGCCAGAGGAGACCGTGATGGCTCCTGTGTTCCGGTGGACCTGACCGGCTGTGTTCAGGGCCGTGAAGGTAAGGGCCAGAGTTTGGGCTTTCGGCAGGCAAAGTAGATCAGTAGTTCAAATGTGGCCCAATATGTCTGGGCAAAGTGTGCTGTATATCTGATCAGAACACAAAAATGATTTCAAAAAATAAGCTTAAGAATGGGTATATTGTCCATTCACCCATGTTCATAGCAGCATTATTCACAGTTGCCAAAAGGTGGAAGCAACCCAGGGATGCATTGACGGTTGAATGGATGAACAAAATGTGGTACGTTTTTCCCCCATCTACAATGAAATATTATTCAGCCTTGAAAAGGGAGGAAATTCTGACATATGCTACAACATGGATGAACTTACAAAACATTGTGCTAAGTGAAATAAGCCAATCACAAAAGGACAAATATTGTTAATTATTCCACTTAAATGAGGTAACTAGTCAAATTCTTACAGAAAGTAAATAGAACAGTGATTGCTCAGAGACTGAGAGGAGGAGGGAATGGGGGTTACTGTTTCATGCAGTTGGGGTTTCGGTTTGGGCAGATGAAAAAGTTCCGGAGATGGATGGTGGTGATGGTTACACAACAATGTGAATGTGCTTAATGCCACTGAACTGTGCACTTAAAAATGGTTAAAATGGTAAATTTTATGTATAGTCTACCACAATAAAAAAAAAAAAGAGAGAGAGAATAAGTTCAAGACAACTTGTTACCAGTTGGGCAAGTGAGATTTGTGATGGTCAGACACTGAAAACAGAATTTACTCTCTGTATCCAAACTTCCTGATCAGAAACATTTGATATTAAGGGGTAATCTTTCTCGTTCTTTAGCTTTTGTCTTATGCTGCCTCAGCTGTTCAGAGCCAAATTTTACTAGCTCAGCCCTGGAGCTGCACTTCGAATGGTCACATACAAGGAATCAACTTCTAAGAGTTACACATTAAGTGATGCACACGTGTCAAAGCTTATTTTTCCTGTGCTGATTTATAAAGTCTAAATGTTGTGTAACCTTGACAGAGGTATCTTGAGGACCAGCAGATCACACTGTGCTGACATGTCTTCCAAGTAAAGGTTTGTAGGCGTAGTCTACAAATTACAAATGGCTTTCAAATCTGTATTTCTACCCCTTATTTTGTTCCTAAATACTAGACCCGCATTTCAATTTGTACTCTTGAGCCTCATACTCGTTATGTCTAAAATGAAGCCTCTTTTCCTTCTAAACCATCTCTCATTCCTTTTGTGTGAGGATGGCACACTGTCCATCCAGTCATGTAGGATTGAAACTCTTGGACTTGGCTTTGGCTTGTCCTCTCTCTTTTATGTTTATTTTGTGGCATTTATTGCAATAACAATTACATAATTATTTACGGTATTGTAACTCCATGAGAGCGGGGGCTGTGACTGAATTATTTACTGAGGTGTTGACATAATAGGTGCTCCTAATTCAGACCCTCTTCGCTTTTCGCCTAAGCCAGGATTTCTTTAACTTCAGTAGCTTGCTGAGAGAATTCTTACCCTGTACGGGATGATCCTCGTGCAGCTAACGGATTGTCTTACTTCAGACTCAGCTCTCGTCATGTCGTTCTGCTGAGTGGCTTCCCATTTCATTCTCATTCAGCACTGTTCTCAGCAGATAGGCCAGTGCCCTCCATGTGCCAAGCACTGTTCTAACTGCTGGAGACACACCAGAGAGCAGAGTAGGCAAAGCTTCTATGAGTATGACCTTACTTTTTTCGTGGGGGGCGGTGACAGACAATAAAAAATAAATCGATATAAACTGTCCAGCAGTGGTAAGTGCTATGAAGACAAAGCGGAGTAAGGGGACCGAGGGCGCTGTTTTTATTAGCGGGACCAGAGCCAGCCTCTCTGAGTAGATCCCAAGGAAGCGATCACTCTGTGAGAGAAAAATATTCTAGAGTCCTGAGGCATACTTGGTAATCTTGGGAAGCAGCAAGCCCCTGGTTTGACAAGAAGTGAGTGACCTAAGAGAAAAGTGGGAGGAGCTGAGGCCGGAGAGGTTCAGCATAGTCCCTTGCACGGTACAGTATGACTCAGCGAATACTTGTTGAAAGAGTGAATGAATGAAGCTAGACAGAAATTATTCATTTATTTATGAATGACGGTCAGGGCAGGGTGTTAGGGGTATACCCCAAAAACGTAGGATGCGTTTTTCATAGTTCATCAAAAGAGCACAGGATTTCACCTGCACCGTCCCTGCTTCTGTGGTTCAGGAGAGAGGATGCTAACGGGCAAAGCAAGAAAGATCAATTCCGGCTTGTTCTTGAAGGAACTTCTAGTCTTCTGCACCACAGGGAAATCAGAGGTTAGAAAGTTGTCAGGAAGCAGGAAGTAGAGCAGAACCACTCAATCTTGGTAATTTTACAAGGCGCTCCCACCCATGTTGGATAAAGCTTGTCTTTTTTTTTTTTTTTTTGCCCCGCATCCATAGGCTCACTGTAAGTCAACAAGACATGAAGGGAGAGCCATGGAGCGGGGATGCAGGAGCGGCAGGTGGTGGCTGGTTTTCAGTAGGATTAAGGGGAGGACTGCTGATTTAACTGAATCTCCGATTATTCTAAGCTGCTCACGGAAATCCGTCACTGCCGTCTGTGAGACGCAAGAGGGAGAAGCTTAAGGATGTCCTGTTGATGCTGACCGTCACTCCTGGTTGCCTTTTCTAGGACTGCCAGCTGTGTTCTTGATACTCAAGGCCCTCCAGACCTGGCCCCTTCGCTGCCTTTCTCCCCTGGTTGCGCACGGTCTCCTCCTGCTGGCCGTCTTCACAGCGGATGTTTTCCAACTTCCCGTCCTTGCTTTAGTGTTCTTCTGGCTCAGACTAGCCACTCACGTCTGCCATCAGAATCCTCCCCACGCTTCAAAGCTCCTTTTGTATTTTTTTTTTTCTCAAGGGGAGAGAAATGGCCAAACATTCCTTCTTTTGTTCTAAGGCACTTTGCTTTTATGTCTGTTCAGCATTGTCTTGTGGTTACAAGTTTACACCCTTGTCTCCCTGCCAGCCTCCACGCCATCTCTCTCTTGCCCTGCCCTGTCACAGTGGGTGGTTGTGTGATATCCTGTCTCTCTGAAGACCATCTTCTCATTTCCTTCCTGGTGCCATTGATCTCTTCCATTGTACCTTCTCCCCTCATGGCTTAGAGTACTGTCAACATGCCAAGAGCATCAGTATTGCCTGAGAGCTTGTTTGAAATGCAGACTCTTGGGTCCCGCCTCAGACCTGCTGAAAAAAAAATGAACCGGAAGCTGGCGACTCTTCCATCCTGCGCACATGAAGCTTTGAGAGGTGTTGCCGTAACGCTTCGTTCCTTCTCCCCATACCACAGTGCATGGAGTGTGCTTGAGTATCTTTCTCCCCCTCTAGATGTTGAGCTCCCGAAGCATGTGAAACACCTATCATCCAGCACAGCCTTTAGCGTGCGTCAAGTGCCCAGAAGTGCTTGCTAAATTACCCTAAAGAACCCCTGGCTTTATATTTTGAGATGCTCCTTTGGTCAGGTTACTGAAGTGCACTCAGCTGTGCCTGGTGCTTTGCTAGGTGATTGAGGCACCCTGGTAGAAGTGGGAGTCAGCCCCTATCTTTGGCATTTCAGTTAATTATGAGACAAAGCAGAGTCTGATAAATTCGGTAACTGCGTAGGTATCACCGCAGGCCCAAGGGAACACCAGCGGAATGGCAGTGATTTCCAGTTCCAAGTCCAAGAATTTGTGGTGGTTTCATGGAGAGGATGGTGTCTGATGATCACCTTGTGGGATGAATAGGACTTTGACAGACAGACACTGTGGGAAGAGGCATTCTTGGCTGGGAATGAGCCTGTTTAAGGGCGCAGGCATGAAAGTGCACATTCAGGGTGTTTCTTGAGCAAGGAAGACATGGAGGAGCAAAGTGGAAGCTGCGATTGGCAAGGTGGGTTGGATGCAGACTGAACTTCAGGTCCCATGGTAAGGAGTCTGGGCTGGTAAGAAACATCTGCAAATCACATGCTGTTGGCACAATTAGATGTTCAGTGGTTTCTGTGGACTCTGCCCTGCTGTCTCCCTCTCTTCTCCCGTTCTACCTTGCTGGACATGGGTGGGAAACGGGAGGATTTAGAAGAGGTGGGACAGGCCTGAATGTTTTAGCCTGCTCTTTATATGGGACCATAGCCTCAGGTCTTTTTTTAATGCTAAATGGTCAGCCACTTCCTCTCTCACCCCCTTCCGGAGTCACCCAGCAGGGCCCCCCTAAGGCAGAAAGACTCAAGCTCAAGCTCCATAAATAAAAGGTTTCAGACAGTATGCTTTTAAAATGCCACCAAACCCCAGACTGAACCTAGTATGTTTTATTATACTTGCTGTCTGTTTCCTAACCTCGTGAGTTTCTGAGGACTAATTGTTTCTGCTTATGGTGGAATAGACAAGTGTCCCTCTGCCCATGTTATAGGCTAGTGGACAGGCCATCCAGCATTCAAGATGAAGGGACACACCCCTCCCCCCATTTCCTGTCATGTCATCTTGTTAGAAACGCCCCTGAATGAGGCAGCTGTAGTGGGACTTATTTCTCCTAGGGTTGGGAATGCACTATTAACCTGGAAGTTAAGCCCTACTCTAACTGGCCCCAAGCTTTACCATCTTTTTCTTGAGCCTTTTACTTCAGCTAACTGAATTTTCGGGTAAGGTTGGAGAGTATCACTCTTTATGCTTTAGTCAGGCACCAGTGCCCTCCTTCCAACCAGCTCCACCAGTCCTGAGTCAGAAGATCAAGGTTAAAAAGAAGAGGTGCAACTTACCAGAAATTTGTTGTTCGTTTCTCAGATGAAGAACCAAGAGCTTCTTTTTAGGTAAAACAGGCTTTAGGATTCATTAAGTGCACTTGAGAATGAGGCACTGCGTTAAGTGCGAGGACACAACCTTTCTTTCTGCAGGAAAAGCATTCAGTCTGGATGGAGGGACATTCACTAGGGACCACATGATGCAGGCTGTAATGTGTGCTAGAGGCTTGTACAGGTGCGACAGGAAGTGGGAGCTGACTGCTGGAA